TGCGCATATGCGTACTATGCGCATAGTGCGCATAGTACGCATAGTGATGAACTATGCGCGCATTTGCCCATCTCTAGACACAATGGACATTAGAATTACTTCTTTCTAAGCGAAATCGGATTATCTTGTATTTTTAAAGCGTAACATGTCTCGATACAATATTTCTCCTCCTTTCAATAGATAATAAAAGAAACTAATTGATAATTTCCTTTCGTAATCGATATAGTGTGACAAGATGCAACTCTCGAATATTTTAAAATCAAGCAATGATACCGAAACAAAAGTTGTAATTTTAACGAAAATAAATATATTACCAATAAAGATTCTATTTTTCGTGTCTCTCATGTAGTTGTTACGTGTTTCGGTGAGTTTCACTGATAATTGACGCAACGTTATTGGTTGGGCGAAACTAACGAAAATTCTGACTAAAGAAACATTAGATTACAAAGGTAATATCAACAAAGGCTCTAAAGCCTGTGCCAATATCTTAGGAAATTGTATGTTCAAGGTACAAGGTAAAGATAAATAAAAGGATAATCATTTACCACAAACTACTATTGTTAACATAATGAGATAAAATTCGACAATCTTGTTATAATTCCTTAATTTCCTATTGACACATGGTTAGCACAGGATCAACGTTATTGTTTATTTTATGGACTTTTACTATCGCTATCTATTTGTATGATTATTTATTTGTATATGCACTCTGCCTTTTCGCGTATATAGTATGATTTTTTGGTCTCCAACACTTTTTTAATATTACCACATTAGTTAGTGTGTTTATGAACAATCATAAAACATAGATAATCCATTTTGTTTCATCATCCATGTTCTTAAAATGTCTTATTATTCCCTCTTTAGCCCACTGTGTCGAAACTATTATTGTGTTTGTCTATTTAGCCACCAATGCTTTCCTAAAGAAAAATTTAAGGATCTACTTTTAGTATAGCAATTAGATAGTTTAATACAAACATGTATATAACACTTGCTCTCTTAACCAAATAAGAGACATGTTTGGACCAGCATAATAAAGTTGAATTACCTTTATTCCTTTGATTATACCAGTATCTTCAAACCTTGCGCATAAGTGTTTTATTCCTTTAGCCTAAAAAGTTGACTTTGATTCTTGTTAGTTGTAATCTCAATTTAACTTTTGATCTGTTATATTGAAATTTGCCTTTGAGTATTGTGATATTGCGTTATTCTTTTGGATATTATACCATTATTCACTTTGAATAATTAGTTTATTGAAGATTTGCGAAAACGATTATTTTTTCTTTTATTATTATTTTATTAATACTTGTCACAAACAGACAATATCTACAGATACAGTATAATACTACATGTAAATAACTACTCAAAAAAATTCATAGAATATAACAAAGTCTGATTCACAACGTCAAAAGTAAGTTCAATATAACAAATCAAAAGTCATTTGAGACAAAAAGTTACATCCGCTTTGCAGGTCAAAGGAAGAAAACCATTTTTTTTATCAAGCTTTGAATAGTACTGGAATATTCAAATTGATACTTTTCCAAGCATTAGACTTTTCATCTTTTCTCTTTTCATTTTTAAAGCGAGTTAGTATGCACATGTCGATTTACTAATCAACTATCTAATCCCTACTCTAGATTACACTGAGCGTGATTATCGTTATGGTTAAGCAAAGGGTCTAAAAGATGGATTTTCCAAAAGATTATTATGACTTACGGATTAATGGATTATCATGCATAGCCTAATTTAAAATTACCATGCCTCAAACAACATGAATTTTTTTTATTTCAAATCATATTTATTTTTGATGTTTCATATAAAAGTAAAAAATTATACTTCAAATAAATTTTATTTATAAAAAGGATTAGACAGCATAAACAAAATTGATAAGTATTTGCTTAACGGTATTTTACATAAAAATAAGAAATCTCATTTTTTTAATTGAAAATATGAAGATAAATAGCAATGAGCCATGTATCACAAAAAACACGAAAACGGGAACAAAGAAGCGGGGAAGAAAATAGAAATTAAATTGACACTTTAATGCGATAATTTAATATACTTGCAATACATGTATGAAGATTATATATATTAGATATACAATATTTATGTAATGGAATATTGATGAAATTTGTCCGCATTATTTTCTCAAGAAAAACCTACGTATTTATATATATATGGAAAGTTGTCGAAAAGCTTCCGAGCCGAATCGAAAATTAGGTTATGCTCTGAGTAATGTCATTTAAACCAAAATACGTTACATAGCATTAAACTCTCCTGTTAAACCAAAATATTATCCTAAAGTTTTCCAATATCATATTGATAATAAATACACACTTGTCTACATTATTCATGCAAATTAACAATTAACTTATAAGAACCCATGTCTGTATTCTCTGCTTAATGACTAGTATCCACTTTATTTTCAAAAATTGTTAGTGATATTCTTACTCAGATAAATTATATATATATAAAGTTAGGTTTATTTCTTATTGTATAGCTTAAGGACTATAATGATTCATTAGCACCACGTTCTTTAGTACTAGCTCATCCGTCTACAGATTTTATCCCCATATAGAACGCAAAAATCGAGAAAAATGTGCATATGAGAGATATAACCACAAGACCGAATCCAAATTCGAGAGTTGTAGTTAAAAAATGGCTCGCTTCGTTTCGGGCCCTGCTAAAGCCGTCAAGATCTCCTGACATCACCAACAAAATGACAATGAATCCGATTACTGAAATCCATATTAATACTTTTTGACTGCTTCGACTATAATGACGACAAGCATATAAGCCAACAACAGTTGATATGAATGATATTATTAAACCTAAAAATGTATTTGAATAAATATTCAATTTTTTTATTAGTACGTAATAATGTTTTTTGGAATATTAATAATATTTATAAACACGTTACCGATAGGATGCATAGCAAGCAAAAATTTCACATCACCGGCTGGATCAGTTTGAAACCCGCTACCAATACCATTATTTGCGCACTCGCTCAATAAATTGTACGCTTCCTCACAATAACCGTATAATCCAGACACGATTTTCAAATCTCCGTATGCCCATTGCGGAATGTATTGGAACTTCATGATATAAATGGACTGGATATTTGGTGCACTTAAGTTCACCAGAAAGAGACACACTAATGAGACGAACGAAAAAATAGTCCCAATAATGTTTGCGGCATTAGAAGATGGCATTTCTATTACTTATAAGTATAGTGTTTTAACAATATGAGATAGGCTGCGAAAGATTCTATCTTTTAATGACAAAAATTAATAATACATTTGAATACTTTGCTTAAGTATTTGTTACAAGCGGGAAGAGTATCTCTAAAAAAGAAGATAACGACAGACTTTTCTGTTGCATTGCCATTTATAATTGTTTCTTTGTGTGTATATACATTCAAGATGAAAATCCTTACGTAAAGCAGTACATGTACATGTACTTGTATCGGTATTTGCCAAGGGATTACAAAGTAAGGTGATCCAACAATTTTCGTGTACCTCCAATTTTATTTTGGGACACGAAAATTCGACATCCAATTGTTAGATTTTGAGCTCAAATACAACAATCAACCGGATGTCAAGTTATCCTGTCCCGAAATAAAATGTACAAATGGGAAGGGTATACAATACTTGGTAGGTACACCTTACGCCATCCGAATTTCCTAAAGCAATGTCTCGTGCTGCAAATATTCAACCATTAACATTACTAGTACCACTTTCTATGAACATCGTATGTTGAATAAAATTTCTGATATGAATTTGAGTTCATGTTTATTTGAGTTCAGAAATTTTACAAAAATTTACAATGACTCACAAAAGAAACGCAACACGGAAAAAAACGGCGAGATACGAATACCTCGCCGTAGGGAAATTTTGGAAAATTAATAAGGTGAGTATAGTGATTCGTCAATATCGATATCAAAATTGATTTGCGTCTATCTTTTAATTGACGCTACACTTAATTTTCTATTTAGAACCGAAAGCTGCTAAATTTTTTCGTATACATACTTCTAACCTTATTCAATATTATATATAACCACCCTTCGCTTTTAATTACTCACTAATCCTTTTTGGTATGGATTCGTACAATTTGGAACAATAATCGAGATCTATGTTCTTCCACGCCACTTGCAATTTTTCCCACAACTGTTCTGTGGTTAAAAGTGGTCCAAGAAGTTGCCTCATCCGCATATCCACCTCATTTCATAAATTTTCTATGGGGTTTAGGTCGGGAGGGTGGGATGGCCAGTCTAGCAAAGTATCTCGTTGTCGGCAATCCATTGCTTTGCTTTTCCGGAGATTTGCTTTGGGTTATTATCTTGCTGGAAGATAAAATCACTATCCCCCAGCACCTTCTTCCAGACTGACCCAAGAAGATTATTTGTTAGGATTTCCACATAGCCATCTGCATTCATTTTTCCCACAATTTTTCTCAACTCGCCAACATCGTCGCCTGTCACGCAACTCCAAACCACAATCGAACCATCGCCAAATTTGACGGTTGGCGTAATATGCTGGTCTTTTAACTGACCGCCGGGCTTTTTCCAGCAATACTTTTGGTCATCCGACCCGAAAATTTGGTGCTTGCTCTTGTCAGACTAAATTATGCGTCGCTAGTCGTCAGCCGTCCAAGTTCAGTATTTTTTCATCCACGCTAACCGTCGCTTTTTGTGTGTGGTTCGTTTGAGGTAAGTTTCTTTCGTTTTATGGAGCGAATAATCCGTTTCTACGGAGCATACATCATGTGCTTTCCACCGAAAGGTCAACGTCCAACTCATTTTTAAGCTCTCGTTGGATCTCGACAGCGATGGAACGTTTCCCGGAGTGGATTGATCGGCATACGTTTCTTTCGTAGCGTGACGAGAGGATTGGTGGGTGAACGGTTTTTGGCTTGTCATCGAAGCTCTCAGTCTCCTTCTTTTTGCATATCTGATAGAGGAGACTGGGGCTACCTGCTCTGATGCTGCGACTTCCCGCATCGAATATCCTTCTTTCCGGAGCGTGTATATACGGTCACGTTCTCTATAGGGATTTTAGGTATGATTATGAAAAATGATCAGTTTGTTTGTTAGAATGTGAAGATTTATTTTTTTAATTTACAAACAATCAAAAGTGTTTGTACTTATCTCTATATAGCCTTTCCGTCTACCTTCCCGTTCGGTCGTAATAAGTGCAACGTTAAAAAAAGAATAAAATGTTAATGCATCTTTAGTCAAAAGATAGAAACGAATAAATTTTGATATCATCAATACACTCATCTTTTGGTTGCCCAGATTCTCCCTACGGCGATGTATTCGTATCTCGCTATTTTTTTTCGTGTTGCGTTTCTTTTGTGAGCCACTGTATACCAAATTATAGCCTGAAGTTAGAAAAAATAAACTACTGCATCCTTTGAGAAAATTATGATAGATCTTATTGGATCACTACCAATTTTGCCATAATTCATGGCATAAACCAACCCTCCTCCAGCAACTACTTGTATCTTTATCATGAGCACGAGTGTTGAAAAAATTTAGAAGATCTGTGTCTGTAGATTTGATAAAAACTACGAAGTTTAAGTTAAAATTTGCAAACTTTCAACTCCGTTAAATCTATTATAATATGAAAACTATTGTGCATTCCATTATATAATGTATATTTGTGTTAAATTATCTATTACATATCAGATCCTTTATAATACTTCCATATACATCAGATTTCCAAGTTACATTATGATAAAATAGTCTCAGGTTATGTCATGAATTATGATACTAAAAATTCAATGTTCAATCAAATCTGGACATTCAGAGTAATAAATAATTAAATAAGTTGTATATATATATATAATTAATTTCTTATCAAAAATTATTTTGGTTTTTAATTCAAGTTTATATAATTTTAAATAATATTTTAGTTTTATCAAGTTGGCTCTGTATAATTCATATTTATAAGTAACTTTTATTATTATAAAAACTAATTAAACTCTTGATATAATAAAGTTAAGCTCAAGTATATTTCTATATTAATTCTCTTAATATAGTAAAACATTTGAAAATTTTTTATTAATAGTTCATATACCTTTATTATTATTTACATTTCGGTTGTTCTTTTAAATCATAATTCTAATTGAAATAATCATTTTAAAAACTATCAAATAATCTTTTTTAATTGAATTCTTAGTATAAAACGGTTTTTGATTTCAACTAATTTCACAATATTTATAATATAGAAATAAAAAGAAATAGAAAAAGCTTAAGAACTATATAGTGTTCATTATAAGTAATAAGAATTGAATATCTTATCTGCCTGTAATTCGAAAATTGCAGATCCATTTTCAGTAATTATGAACTTAAATAAATTCTATAGGTTTGTAGTATTCATTTAAGTCCAAAATCATTAGAAATAGATCAGCCATTCTTGATATCTCAGCATTCTTTAATGGTTAATTATTCTTAAAATCGTAAATATTTAAAAAAGGTTATTTAATCATAAAATGTCAATATTTTGATAATGATCAATTTAATTTCGATGATTTTGGACTTAAATGAACCTTAGTATTTATTTAAGTTCAAAATCATCAAAATTGGGATCAACCATTTTCAAAATATTAATATTTCGTGATAGTAGCCAAAAATATACTGAAATATAATATCGATATCTTTGAGAATAATTGATTCATTTTTAATAATTTTGAGCTTAAATAAATATCGAGAATTGTAGCATTCATTTAAGTTAAAATCGTCAAAATTGGATCGATCATTCTTGAAATATAAGTGTTTAAACTACAAAAGTCTTTTTCTGCTATTATATTTTTTACATAAATTTTCATTATGATTTGATGATTAATCATCATAAAACAGCGATATTTCAAGAACAGTCAATCCATTTTTGATGATTTTGAATTTAAATAGAAATTACAATCTTAATATTTATTTAAACTTAAATTGATTAAAAATTATTGGATATTTCTTGAGATATTACTAGTATAAGACAGGTAATTATTTATCTTTATCTTACAACTTTGAGTTTTATTTTGATGAATAATTATATTACGTAATGATAATATTTCAAGAATTACTGATCTATTTTTGGTAATTAAATAAATTACATAGTTAGAATTAGTAGTATCTATTAAGTTAAAAATTATCTAAACCAGATGATTTGTGCTTGAATTTTTATAATATATACAAATTTTCATTACTTATAATGATTATTATATAAAAAATAATTAATAATTAGAAAAATTATAACTAAAAATATTAATAAGTTTTATTAAAATATTTCAATTAAATAATATCCATACTTTATTAAAAGCTTTCAAAGTTTGATTAAATCATTAATTTTAATAGCTTTTTACTTATTTTATATTTTATAAATTGATAATATTTAATTAAGAATTGACTTATTTTAATTAGATTTTCTTATTCAAATTAATTATTATTATAATATTACCAGTTGCTTTATAAAATTCTCAAAATAAATTCTTATTTTATCAGTTTTAAGTATTTAATAAATAATTTAAATTAAACTTTATAATATATAAATAATAATTATGAAACTTTTATAAAACATCAAATTTGATTAAATTATTTATTAAAAATAGTTAATTAAAATATATATTTATATATAAATATTTATCTTTTATACAATAATATCTAATTTATAAATTCAAAATATTTCTTGAACAAAAAAAATAAATTTATAATTATTAAATAAATTATTTATATATTTATAATATTATTTAATAAACTATAATAAATTTTTAAAATATTTTAATATTCATATATAATTTTTTATTTTATATTTTATTAAGAAATTTAATAAACAAATTATTGAAATAATCAAATAAATTAATTAAAAAATATATTTCAATTTATTAAATGAAAAATTATATATTAAGATGACTAATATTTATAGTTTAGAGATGATTATATATAAGATTCCAACAGGTAAATAAAGCTATAATATATTTCATAATAGATATTTATAAAAAAGTATAATTTATAATACTAATTAATATTTTCAAATAATATAAATTTATTATAAAAAAATATTGTAATTTTTTTTCAGAAAATATATTAACTATTAAGAAACTTGATAACTTTATCAGATTTTTTATAATTATAAATCTTATATACTAAATTCTTATATTTTCAGTATTATAACTAGAAATAGATAAATTTGTATATAATATATTACTATATATATTATTA